CCCAGTTGTAGGTGCTGCTCAGGCTTGATCTCCAAGGAGCTTGAGAGTTACTGGCTGCATTACTTTTTAGTTGTGTAGCATACCTATAATGTACAAGTCATTTTGTGCAATAAAGTGTGTTTCATGTTGCTGTGTATCTGTATTTTAATGACATTGTTTTATAGTACAGAAATTGTTTCATAGGGGAATAAAGGAGGATAGTGATCTGTGGTATACACAGCTTCCTTGCTTTTAAGTGTGAGAAATAATGGCTGATGGGCATGAAAAAACTCTGTTGACAGGCTCTGTAATCTAATCCATCTACCTTCAGAGAGATTTATGACTCCATAAGATAATAAATTTATGAACACATTTCATAACGTTTTTATTGGGTTTTGATATCACCATCATTGCTCCCTTTTTCTTTAACTTCCTTGAAAGTCAAGCAAAAGCTAATTTTATACTGAACCAGGTTCTGAAGAGTTTGTGTGCATGTGATGTGTTGTTTTTTTTTTAAACCTGTCCCTCATAAGGGGAATATTTTTTTTGTATGTTGGCTTTTAAATTTAAGAAAAGTTAACATACAGAAGTCCTAAGTTGCTTTCTTTAGGTCTCCTGTAGACATGCAGTTTCTCTTGGGGGAGTTGCTGCTCTCCCCCGGAGAAACTATGAGCGTACAGATGTTCGGAGTTTTTCTCCCAGGATAAAAATGGCTGCTCCAGAAGAAAAATAACCTGGGAACAACCAGGAGAACTCCCAAGAGAGTTTTTCATGGGAGAGGGAATATCTGTACATGCCATAGCTTGTCTCCAGAAGATAGGATTGTCTCCCTGGCAGGGAGAAACTATACGGGAAGACTGCCCCTTGCTGGACACTGCTGCTCCAGCAGGGAGCAGAACATTCCTTCACAATTCCCACACTGTGCTACAGAGAAGCAGAGGCTGACTGTGGGTGGTCTGGGTCATCCAGTCAGGCCTGCCCTATGCACTGTTGCCATCTGCTGCCAGGCAGACTAAAGAAGCCTGCAGAGCATGTTTAGATATGTGTATAGGGAACCCCTTACCCCCTGCCCAGCTGCACAATGTCAGTACTGCAAGCTCTCCACTCTTCAGGACTTCAGTATTTGCATGTCTGTACAAGTTTCTCTACAAAAGAACAGTCCTGAGAGAATTCTCCCAGATTATTTAAGTGTCTGTATGTAGCTGTAGGGTTTGATTTTTGTGGTATGCTGAAGGCCTCCAATTAAATACTTACCAGAAAGGCAACAGTGGCCCTTTGGCAATGGCTTGATTTGTACTGTGCTCTGTGGCTGACCACCTTGAATTGGTCCTTAAGCTTCCATTCGTTCTTCAGTCTCAGCTTCTTTATAATCTGACCTGCCCACAGCTGTGGCCTGGATCAGTATAATTACCTTACACCTAGCAAGGCAGGCTCTAATGCTGCTCTAATTTAGCTGCTGTGGAAAGGGGGTTAAGCTGGGATAATGTTGTGTCCTCATCCTAGAAGCAGGCAGAATCACCCTTGAAATTTACAGCTCTAGCAGGCTGTAGGACAGTGTGTAAGAGAGAGTATACTGAGTTGAGCTGTAAACTTGGAACTCTGTGTAATGATAACACACAGATGACTGCCCTACAGGTTCATGTCAGGATAATTTTTTTTACCTTCTATCTAATAACATCCTTCCCTTCCCCTCACCAAAAGAGCTTTCCTGCGACTTGCATTGCTATGTCTGACTGAAGCATCCTATGTTTATAGGATATTGCATGCTTCCTATGTAAATAACTATGTTCAAATATTAATATAAAAAATAGAAGGATTTTTTTCCCCGAAGTACTCCACTAGTAATTAAGAAAAAAAAAAAGGAGATAACTATAAAGTTTTGCATTTTTATTTAGAGCTAGCTTTGTAGGCACATGGGTATTAAATAAACTGAGCTGTATTGTAGTGTGCATTAAGCTCCTTCTGTATAAAGGAGCATTATGTCTGTCCTAGGCAGCTGCAGTGTCAATCCTTTTTCCTTCCTTCACTTCCATGCTATTTTTAACATTCCCAAATTAAGTACTAATTTTTAATCATGTTAAAAGTGGCAAGGAAAACTAACTGTTTTTTTGTTTGTTTTTTTTTTTAAATGTGTGAATAATAGGTCTTGTTCATATATGGCTTTTGAACATCTGTCTTTAATTTGCTATCCTTGATATAGCCAGAAGCCATAGAAGAAACAATAGAAGGTTCATATTACTTGATACTGCTTACATAAAAAAAATGGTCTAAGGCAGGGGTTACAGCTAATAGAGCTGACTTCTCTAGGAAAAGCTATTAGAAGTGACAGTTTCAGAAGTGACCAAATATTTTTCTTTTCTTCCCAGCTGTCCCTTTTCCTCCAAGCCATCGGCTCACAGCTAAGGAAGTGTTCGATAATGATGGAAAACCCCGTGTGGATATTTTAAAGGCACATCTTATGAAGGAAGGGAGGCTGGAAGAGAGTGTTGCTTTGAGAATAATAACAGAGGGTGCTTCAATTCTCCGTCAAGAAAAAAACTTGCTGGATATAGATGCTCCAGTTACAGGTAAGTGCTGTTTTTATTTTAATTGGTGCATACAAGCACATATATGATAGTTATACTTATGTTACATTTATGAGACTCCACACATACAATACTTCCCCAAGGCTGAATGGAAATACTGTAATATACTAAGCACCCCCAGTACTTCACTCTTTGTCTCTCCATATCTTCAAGTACTATAGGCCTCTTCCTGAAGGGGGCTGACACTAGAAAAGGAAGCGTCTTTGACTGAGACCTTTTGTTTCTTAAACGAGGGTTCTTTTGTTTGGAATATAAGACTGAAAGAACAGCCTTAACCTCACAAAAGTCTCTGGCTTGTTCTACCACATACACATTCCAGCATTTTGTAGGTGGCCTTTACCTCAGTTATATGATTCAAACTTAGTTTTAGGCTTGCTCTGAAATAGTGAAAGGAAATGTTCTTATAATTAAGAAAATAAATAAGCCAAAAGGAATAAGTAGAATAATGAGAGCAAATGCATTGTTGAGAGATTAAACACTTTTTCCATTTTGTCCACTTTTTCCATTTTTGCCTTGAACTTACTTCTTCAATTTTCTAACTGCTGATTGCATTCTGTGTGGCAATGCAATAGTTTCCTTTAATATGGCCTCTTTTTGCTTTTAGCAGATATTTTAATTTAATGGTGTTAATGTCTTTGGCAAGTAACAGCTCTGTGGCACTGGTTAATTATTGGGATATATATCCTAGTACATCCATCCAGTTTCTACTATGAATTCTAAGCTGTGATGGAGTATGCTTTTTATTGTTATATTTATGTTTTTTAAAGTGTTCGTATTGTTGTGCGTGCCTCAATTTATCTCAAACTTGTACATGAGGAAAAAAAAGAATTAATAGAGCGCTTGCTAGGTCCAGGGACTGTCAGTGTGTGAGCGGAGATGAGATGGACTGCCAGCATCAACAGAGATTTTGAATAGCTTTGTCGATATGTCAGCAAAAGTGGGATTTCTGGTGACATCACAAAAAAGTTGGAGAAGATAAACAGGGCAATGGGCAAAGTAGGCTGTCAGCTCCTGGCTAGAGTCTAAAGGATAGAGACCAGCAGGGCAGATTTGAGGCTTATGAGCTGGGGCAGACTGGAGAGATGAGCTGAGTTGACTTTGGGGTGCTCCAAGCTGTGTGGGCTGGACTGAGGACAGGGGAAAAGCTTACTGCTTTGGAGTGACAAGGTTTTCTTGCTCTATGGTCTTTGCCCCAGTAAATGCCTTTATTGAAGAGGAGCTGTTTTGCTGCTTGTAACTGTGGGTTTCACTTCTGTACAGTAATAGGTAGTCACTCTCTTAGAAGCTAAACTGGAAGCCAAATTGTTTATTCAGGACCAAAGACAATCAGGGAGGCCAGGATCTCAGAGTAGGAAGGATCCTGGGTTCCTCCCTTGCTCTACAAGTCATGTGTGAGCTGGCTTCAAGGTGCAATCTTAGAAACCAGAAAAGGCTACGGTGGTCTCAAGCAAGCCCCCCTGGAGGGACTCTGACAAAAAAATTTTGAAGAAGACAGGAAGGCATAGTCCCTTGCTCATTCCTGTTTCCAGTAAAGCTGGACAGAAGCTGAAAGTAGCAAAGTGTTGTTCACAGAAATGTATTACTGACAATCATTGATAGAATCTAAAGAATGTTATATAAACTCAGCAAGTGCCTCAATATTTTCTTCATTTTCAAGAAAGCTACTCCTAAAACCAATAATTTGGGGCAAGCCATTTCAGCCACAAATAATATAACACAAGGAAGTATATCCTAAGTGAAATGAGCTACCCTGTAATGACATCCATGCATGGAACTAGTCTGACTTAGTAGCTGGCTCAATATATTTTTTTAACTCTTCTGGGAGAAAAGAACTCCCATGAGAATCGTCTGGCGAGTGAGTCTGTCTGGTGAACTCTTTGGATGATTGAGTGGAGGGTGTCCCCCTGAGGACATTCTAGTACATCTTACTCTAAAAAAAGAGTACAAAGACAAGGTTCAATAAAGGAAGAAAACATATTTACTCAAATCTACAATGACCCTGAATTTAAGATGACCCCGCAATAATTAGACTATATACATGGAAAATTTAAAATCTGATTTTTGGAGATTCTTTAATACTTCCCTCCTACTGCTGCAGAGGGGCAGGCAGTGGGGAGGTAGGTGGTGTAGGAAGGTCAAGCAACTTACCCCCTGCTTATGCCTGCCCCCTACCATCTCTGCCTTTGCCTATCCCCAGCCCCTGCTCCTGGCTCTGCTGTATACTAGGAGGCTCTGTCCCCATTCTAGTCCAGTCTCCATAGCAGCCTTGTGGGCTGTGCGCCACTGCAATAGGGCCAGATTGGGGCCATGCTTCACTAAGGCTTCAGTGTGCATGGAGTCTGCTGGTGCAGAGCAAGGGTAAGTGGCGAAGGGAGAGGGGCAGGTGAGGGAGTATAGGCTGTGTGGGAGGGGAAGATGAGGAGACAAGCCTGAAGGGGGTAAATGGCAGGGTGCAGAGGCAGTGGGGGGAGGGGAAGAGAGGGGGCAGGTAACAGCTGTGGCTATGGCCTCAAACCTGGGTAGGGGCTGAAGCACAAGCCACAGCAGCTGCCTGCCCCCACCCTCCAACTGGGCTTTCCTTCTATATTAAATGGGGTGGGGGAGAGTGGGGGCTCATCTTAAAATTGAAGAAATACAGTAAGTTCTATAGGAAAAGTTCTGCAGGGAGATACCATCTTATTCTCCACCTTGTTTGGAGATGGGCAGAGAGGGTGGCTAGAAGGAAGACCATTCCATCCTGTGTATGTACCATAAAAACATCCACTCTCTCAGCTAAAAAGAGGAGCAGCAAAACTAATTGCTAAAAGACAACAGAACTCTGAAAGATGGCAACAGCTTGAGTGATGTTCACTCTATAAGTGAAAATGAACTGCACAGCACACATCGTTTTTTTTCAGAAATACTAGAAGAATAGGTTACGTGACGAAGAAAACGTAGTGGAAGTATGCTGACTACTGGAAACCAAGAAACATAGAAGGAGTGCCTTTCCTTAAAGAGAAGAGATAGAAATGTGTAGAAAGAAGTAACTTAAACTTGAGGAGACTGGGAAAGAAGTCTTAAAAATTAAAAAAAAAAGAGGGCAGACTCCACAAAATCTTTTAACAGGCGAGTAATTGAGAATGATGGACTCACTTTTTTGAGTAACACCTCTGAACCTACTTCTGGAGATGATGATAATCAAGGAAAAAAAGAGAAACAAACCTCATCTCTGAAAGCAGGAAAATCCTGAATTAATATAAGTAGTCTTGAAAGCCACTATGTATTTAAGATGTGTGCAAGAGAAAGAACACCAAGGAAAAAAAATGTATCCTCTAATTCTTTACATAGCTTTTTCCTTTAAATTTTGAGGGTAAAATACATACCCTCAAAAATATGACACAATAGTTTCCATTGGGTCAATTTGTATATGAAACCAAATGATATATTGTTAATATACAGGAGACTTTGGTTTTAAATGATTGTTTATTTGCATAATAAAATGTTCAATAAATATACAATGCAAGAAGACTATTTTTTTATTTAAGATATTAATTAGTTCTTGACTTGTATTTGTCTGGAAGCTCTAATGCGATTTGTCACTTTGCATGTTGTTTTTCCGTGTAGTGATGTATATGGTATTATGTATAATTTAGTCTTTCAGATTCTAGAATTTTTAATTATTTAATTAAGAGTGGGTGCAAAAATATTTCACTGATAAAACTGAGCCCAGCATTGAGGTGAGTGTGTTTTATTTGTCATGGAAAAATAGTACAATATTATATCATTAGAATATGTTTCTTAGTACTGGAGTTGGTATTCTATATGACCCAGTGACATTTTCCCTGCAGTTTTATTGAAGTCAATATATCTCTGAGATTAAATACATCCTAGTAACCAGGAGAAGGTTAATATTATTTAATATCTCTTGATGGTAGCGCAGTGTGACTTTTCAAGAAATCAAAGGCCTTACGTCTTGTGTCTACTTTGTGGGGCACTGCACTTCAATAACGATATGGAGAAAACAGAAAGGGTCCAACAAAGAGTGCGAAAAATAATTTTGGAGGTCTGAGAAACATGATTCATGACAAAAAGCTGAAAGAACCAGGAGTGTTTAGAAAATTTAAATGATTTAATTTGAAGAAGAGAAGATGCTGGCGGGGGGGGAGGTTGGGATGGGAGTGGAATTTGATAGCAGTCTCCAGATATTGGAAGGGTGGTTATAAAGAATTTGGGGATAGACTATTTTCTGTGGCCAGACAGGACAGGACTAGGGGCAGCTGTGTTAGATATAAAGGGAAATTCAGGTTGGCTATCAGTAAGAAATATTTCACTGTGAAGGTGGTTAAGCATTAGAATAGGTAACCTAGATAAGTTGTTTTTAAGAACAGTTTAGACCAGTGGTCTCCAAAGTGGGGTGTGCACACCCCAGGGGGTGTGCAAGACGATCCATTGGGGTGCGGGAAGAAAATACTAAAATTTATTTATTTATTTATATGTATATATGTATGTATATATGTATATACATACACACACATCTATTGGGGGTGCGTGCTCAAAAATTTTTTACTGATGGGGTGTGTGAATATAAATATACATATATTGCGGGTGCATGCTCAAAAATTTTTTCACTGATAGAGGTGCGTGATCAAAAAAGTTTGGAGACCACTAGTTTAGACAAACACTTGTTTGAGATAGGGATGATCCCTCCTGAAGCAGTAGTTGGATTATATGACCTCCTGAGGTCCCTTTCTACCCTTCTTTTCTGTGCTTCTAAAATGGAAACTGTGACAGTGTTGCAGGAGAATTCTTAATGTCAGTGTTGTCCCTGCTCTGCTGCATTTCCTCTTTAATTCTGAATTTGTGTGGCCTGGATTGACTTTGCAGCAATTTCAGTAGGAAGTTATAAATGTTTGGATAGAAAGTTTCCACACTACATCAGGTAGAATTTTTTTCTTTTGAAAATTGTAACCAAGAGGAGTTATTTATGAGAACCTGGCCAGAAA